GAACTGAGATGTGTAGGGCCCTATGATTTCCGCAATGCGGAAATTGCAGTCAGACTCACAGAATCAACACAAAATGGAATCCAGTATAAAACATATAATCTTGCAGAATTTGCTCATTTGGGTGAGTTTCTGACATATTTTGGACAATATAATGTATTTTGGACGCTGCTCTTTTCTGCACCTGCCGTTACCTGGTTTATTTATTTAGTTGCATATTTACTTTTAAGGTAACATTTTTATATTGATGTTTAATTTCAGTTTTAAAAAAGGAAAAGCCTAAGAATAGTATATTATAGTTTTGGAGAATTATCATTAAGTTTGACTGAAAGGGTTCTAGTTGCATGACAAAATGGCTGAAGGGTTACACAAGTCTAGCAAGGTTTGGAACCACTGCTCTATGTGGTTAACTGGTTTTTAAAAATAAACACAAAGCTGCTGTGCAGTCTAGTCAGAAATCACAGAGAGGCGACCCAAATAAGGTGTCTTATGAGAGAGCCTTTGGTATAAAATGCTTCCGTCTTTATTTCAATGGGCTGGGAGGGTTGAAAATGATATTCAAGACAGAGTCTCCAGAATGTCTTACAATACTCAAGTTGCTTTTCAATTTCCTCACAAAGGCTCACTCTTGAATTTTGAGCTGGTTAATAAAATATGTTGCATTATTTGGTCAAAACACTTGCAGAGTTGCTGTAAATATCTTGCACTATTGTCAGTTCAGTTTTTCTAATTCTAGAGAAATAAAGGCTGGAGCTGTATTCTGACACATGCACAGGAGCTCTTTTTTCATAACCATTGTCCAAGTCTACCTGTCACCATTTTGGAAGTTTACTCCAATAGATTAAATCATAAACATGGGAATGGCTGATGAGGTGGGTACAAAGCATACAAAAGAGGGTAAGATGTGGGGATAGGTGGCCAAAAAATGCTGCATCCCAGCTCAGAATTCAGTTTACAAACCTTTGCACACAAAATTAGGCTGTAATTCTAGCAAAATTGGCCACACAAAATGCAGCTACAGGACTTACTATTTGGTTGGTAGTGAATAACCATAATTGGTGAGAGTGCAACATTTTTTTCCTTGTAATGTTTTTGTTTTTTAGATTTGTCAATTAGTCTCTTACATTGCAACCCAGTGAGGTATTATTAGCCTTACGAGAAGAACACATAGACTAGTTGACAAAAGAATATAGTGGTTCATTGTAAACACTATTTTATAAACATATACATCAACTCAGGCAGGAATATCATATTATTTTACCACTGTCAAACTGACAGTGGTGTTAGTAAAAAAGTAAAAGTAAAGCCCACTTTGGTCTTGTTCCCACTTGGATTAACCATTATCTCCCTTAATTCAGTCAGAATTAAACACTGTTTTACCAAACCATTTAAAACCATCTAAAGCAATATTTGCACATAACCTTCTCATAGAATCTCACTTTCAAAAATTTGAACAATTGCTTTTTTATCAGCCCTGAAAAGAAAAAAAAAACAATTGCAACTGCAGAAAATCATTTATCTTAAACAAAACAAAACAAAACATTATTATGTTGTTTTGTAAAAGTGCAGATTTTAGTAGAAACTGCAAGATCTTGCTGAGAAAGATGTTTCTGGGAGTCCACTGCAGATGCAAATTGACAGTAATATGATTAACTCTTGGGAACATTGTGGCTCAACCTAATGTTGTGCTTAATTAAATACACTCCTACCACAGTGTATAGCTGTGGTTCTTACAGCCATCATACTATAAGATGTAAGATGTACATGTACTTATGCTGTTGATTTATAGACATGAGACCACCCCTGTCTTGGCAAACAGTTTCTGGACATTTATCATCTTTAATAATCAAACCTCTACAGCAATGAAGACAACAAGGACAGTGGTTACATACAATGTATGTACATTTATTCATGTACACCTCACATGAATAAATATATTTTGCACTGCAATATTACCATATTTTTAACCACATTGTCCTAAAAAATAAGTCTTTTACAGAACATATATAATCACTATTACATCCATATCTACTTTATAAATATAATGCTTTTCATAAAGAACTAGAGTAGAGATTGACTGACACAGTTTTTTTTCTTTTAGGCCGATGCCAATAATGATTAATTTGACATCAGTTTAACCGATCTGGGCTTGGAGAAGGCATTCAACCATGTCCTTTGGGGAGTCCTGTGGGAGAACTCCAGGAGTATGGGGTACCAAACCCATTGATATGGGCTGTTAGGTATCTGTACAACCAGTGTTAGAGCTTGGTCCATATTCCGGGCTCATTTCCAGTGAGAGTTGGACTCCGCCAAGGTTGCCCTTTGTCACTGATTCTGTTCATAACTTTTATGGACAGAATTTCTAGGCACAGCCAATGGGTTGAGGGTGACCTTCGGATTGCATCTCTGCTTTTTGCAGATGATGTGGTCCTATTGGCTTCATCAGATCATGATCTCCTGCTCTCACTGAAGTGGTTCACAGCAGAGTGTGAAGTGGCCGGGATGAGGATCAGTGCCTCCACATCTAAGACAATGGTCCTGAGTTGAAAAAGGGTTGAGTGCCTCCTCCTGGTCAGGGAAGAGGTCCTGCCCCGAGTGGAGGAGTTTAAGTATCTCTGGATCTTGTTCACGAATAATGGAAGAATGGAGTGGAAGCTCGACAGGCAGATTGGTGCTGTGTCTTCAGTGATGCTAGCGCTGTACCGATCTGTTGTGGTGAAATGAGCTGAACCAAAATGCAAAGCTCTTGATTTACTGGTCGGTTTACCTTCCTGCCCTCATCTATGGTCACGAGCTTTGGGTAGTGACCGAAAGAATGAGATTGCAGATAGAAGCAGCCAAAATGAGTTTCCTCCGCAGGGTGTCTGGGCTCTCCCTTAGAGATAGGGTGAGAAGCTTGGTCATCTAGGATGGACTCAGAGTAGAGCCGCTGCTCCTCCACGTTGAGAGGAGCCAGTTGAGGTGGTTCATTTGGTTCGGATGCCTACTGGATGCCTCCTTGGTGAGGTGTTCCGGGCACGTCCCACTGGGAGGAGACCCAGAGGAAGACCCAGGACACGCTGGAGGGACTACGTTTCTCAGCTGGCCTGGGAATGCCTTGGGATTCCCCTGGGGGAGCTGGCACAAGTGTTTGGGGAGAGGGAAGTCTGGGTCTCTCTGCTTAGGCTGCTGCCCCCATGACCTGATCCTGGATAAGCGGAAGAAAATGGATGGATTTTCTTTCACACAAATACTGTTTGCCATATTTCTTGTATGTATACTATATGTACAACGACTGCAGACAATTGAAGTGAAAAAAATTGGCAACATCAGAATTGAATGAATCAAATGAACTGATAAAATTACATGAGAATGCCTCATCTCACGTGGTATCTTTGATTATAAATACACAAAATATGTTTTTTTTCTTTTAAACTTTTTGTTTGTCTTTTTATCATGCACAGCCATATTTCTTTGTGATTTTCAGAGTCAAAGTGATTCAAGAAGATGGTCAACACTAACTCTAAATCCAAACAACCTTAGCCAAACATCGGGATTGGCATAATTTAGTTAAATAAATCATGGTGTGGTAGTAGTTGAGAGTCATCCGTTCAATATACTCTGAGCACTACCAGATCACACAAGTTCTTTATTTAAAACTTTGATATGCATGAATTTGGTCAGTATGCATTTCTACAAATACTGTTAGTTTGGTTGATTTTAAGGGCTATTTTTTATTTGTTCTGGATCCATATTCAACGAAAAATGGTATTACAGTAACAGTAACAGTTTTATGTGATTTTATCTTTTAGATGACAAAGTTAATAGACCACACTATTTTGGTTTGTTGCTAGAAAAGAGCAACATGTCAAATATAAAACCTTTTAGAAAGTAAACTCTTAATGCACATGAATATGAGACTTGATATGGTAAAATGATTTGAATTGAGCCACGTTGTTCTCAAATTCAGCTTTTATCTTTACCTCAATCCCAACCACTCTACAGTAGTTTTCAAACTTTGTCGTGGCCAGTTTTCATGTCATCACATCGATGTTCACATATACAGTACATATAGACACTTGCCAAAGTATGTAGTAAGGGTTGCTATAATTCCTAATACAGACGGAGTCAGCATAGGGACAACAATAGCAAACACAGAAACAACCAGCCACAATGTTGTGCTGGAAGCTTAAAAAAGACTGAAATTTTCAGCTTGTTTCATAACACCAAACAAGGATGCATCATTATTCTCATTACATAAATGCGTTCATCCCTTCAGTACATGATGGAACATAACTTGGCAGTGTGTACTGTATGTGTGTGTAAAATGCAGGGAACCATCACAAATATGTGAAGGTTATACAAGTCTGAAAACTTTACCCTGACTCCACAATCTGTGTGGGTGGTTTCATTATAGAAAATGTGCATGGTGCGTCATGCCTTGTATGTGTCTCCTCCTGCAGAAAGGTGTGAAGGATGACTTCATGCTCAGAGATCTGTGGGTCAGAATATGGTGAGCAAGCTCATGCTGGCGGAAACTACCAGCAGTACGGAGTCCGCTCCTACCTACACAAGGTGACTGAGCAGACACACATTTACATGGAAATTCTAATTAGATTATAATTATTTATAAATAACCATTTTATCATTTCTATATTTGAATGGCTAAACAAAAACTTTTGTTTACTTCAGTTTTATGAGGAGTGCACAGGTTCTATCTGGGAACGTGACGAAGATTTTCAGATTCAGAGATCGCCTAGCAGGTGGAGCTCTTTACTCTGGAAGGTGAGAATTACATGCATTTTCTTAAAAATGTTACTTTATTTTGAGAAACCAGTGGTTTTTATTGAGGGTGATTAGGTTCTATTCTTTGTCTGTCATGGTTTTTGATTCAATACTTCTCCCTCAGTCCTGCAAACAGTACATTACCTGCATTGGAATAGTAAGATGTTTGGGATCAGTCGCTTTTTGCTAGGGTTGTCCCTATACAAATTTTTGTCTACTGATACAATACCAATATTCCAACCTTGAGTATTGGCTGATACCAGTATCTACCCAATACAATAACAGAACCAATCCTACATACTTTTATTACTTATTTTGTAGTGTGGAATATTAAAAGTCTTGCTCAAGTTTAATAGTAAACAATTGTTAACAACAGTAGGCATGAAAAAAAGACCCATTTATTATTAACCAATGGGTTACATCATTTTTTTTACTTAAACATGAGAATGTTCTACAATCAAATCCAATAAAAAATGATGATAAAAAAGAAGACCCTGAAAAATTACCTAAAAAAATCCAATAAAAACAGGCAATTCAAGGTCACTTAGGTTATTTATACTGTATCCAAGTGCTGCTGGATGGAAATCCTGGAATAGACTACTTGTATCAGGAAATTACAGTTTGTTTGTTTGTTTGTTTGTTTGTTTGTTTGTTTGTTTGTTTATGAATGAATGATACTTTATTGATCCCATCAACAGACTTTCCAATGGTATAAGATTTATTGCCAAGAAGCGTTGTTACAAAAAAGAAAATCTACCTAACACAAATGGTCTTTTATTTGTGCATATCAACATGTGAGCATTTTGTCATCTTATATTAGCAAAAAAGGAAATTATAAATTACTTTCAGGCTCAATAGAAGAAACTTTCTTCAGATTAAGAATAAACCTTCAGAGTTTCTTTTGAAACTTTTTAGTAATTCCTGTTCTTGGATCTCAAAAGGCACCTTCAGCCATGCACCACTCAATGACTTGTCTCCCTTTGTGTAGGTCTGTCTCGCGTTTGGAACCCTGATGTTGTTAGCGGGCCTCATTGTGGTTTTGGTGGGTTTTGTGACACCAGCTAGGATCGAAGCTTTTGGCGAAGATGATCTTCTGTTTGTGGACAGGTATGGAAACAGTAGAGTATGTTAATGAGGATCAGATAGTATAACTTTTGTGATTGTTCCACAGGCACTCAATAGACATACTCTTAAAGGGATCTCTGATTAGTTGTAACATTAGACTTTATTTGACAAACATATATTTTAACTGTAAAATAAAGACTGTAAAAATAATGTAGGCTGTTTAGTTTTGTAAATTTTTAAAAATATATATTTTAACACAGACAGGGCCATTTTATTTACAAACAAAGCATTCTGGGTAAATGATGTGGATAGGTCTTCGGCGTGAGCGAGCTATATCCACCCTGAAGGTTAATCTTGGACAATATCTGATGAGTAGCTGACTCAGCCTGTAACTGAAAATATGGATGGAGGACAACAGAGCTGCTTCATGGAAGAAGAACCTCAGCTTAGCCTGTTAGCCTTTGTGCTAGTGCCAACACTATATTGTCTTATATGTATTGGCTCAGTGCTAGCGTAACAAACTAACAAGCTAAACTGAGGTCCTCCATCCATATTTTCAGTTACAGCTGAGTCATTTTTGTGTTCCCCTCTCTGTCATGTGGATGGAGGACCTCAGTGACGAGAGGAGAATGTGTAGCGCTGAGCTAATACATATATATTGTAATCGCTTCGGGGCTAATGCTAAAGCTAACAAGCTAAGCTGGGGTTCTTCTTCCATGAAGCAGCTCTGTTGTCCTCCAAACATATTTTCAGTTGCTGGCTGAGTCATTTCTACCTTCTTCTCTCTGTCAACGCTCTCTGGTTTCATTTGAAAGAGCCAATCCTCAGATATTGTCTGAGATTAAACTTCAAGGTGGATATAGCTCGCTCACACCGAGGACCTATCCACATCATCATTTACCCAGAATGCTTTGCATGTAAATAAAATGGCCCCATCCATGTAATATATTTTTAAAAATTTAGTTTAAAAATTAAAAAACTAAACAGTCTACAGTATTTTTATAGTCTTTATTTTACAGTTAAAATATAAGTTTATCAAATAAAGTCTAATGTTACAACTAATCATGGATCCCTTTAATAGTTCTAATGTCACCTTTTTTGTTGTTTAAACTTGCTCCCAGAGGAGATGAGTTATATTCAAGTTATGAGAAATATGGTATTAGAAGTACTGTACAGTATAGTGGGTATGTAAGAAAACCAGGAAAAAAAACATTTTACATCTAAATCAATACAATTTACAATCATGTAATCCAATTTAAAATCAAATCTTTGCCTTTTTAACACCTTACAGTTAGAAATAAAAAAGCTGTAACATGAGCTGCTTATTAATGCTGTAACTTAATTGTTCTGTTTTGGAAAACAGCCACGCCGTCAGTTTCAACCATGCACTGGATGTCTGTAAGCTGACTGGTGCCGTGCTGTTTTGTGTGGGTGGAACCTATATGGCCATCGGTCTCCTGCTTTCTGCTTTTGCCAAGAACTACACCAAGAAGGAACAGTATCTCCAGCAAAGGTTCAAGGAGCGGCTGGCAGATCTACATGCAACAGTTGGTAAGGCGGCACATGACACCTTGAAAATTTTATATTAGAGTTAAAATGAAGTTTGTGAAACTGTAGTTGTAATCCTGTGTGTACATACCCTACTAGCAGTGATTGTTTTCATCACAGGTACACCAATAATGAGAGCGCCGACCCCCGGGGAGGGAAAGGTCCCTGTCACACTTTCCAAAGTCCAGAACATTCAGCCGGTGACCGCAAAGTCAGGAACTTGATTGAGACACACATAAAAACATAATGTAAGAATCAGCTAAGGATCGACGGGTGTGCAGTTTGTGTCCAAGTGAGTGGGCGTACATTGATCCATGTGAGCAGTTTCTCAATTTGAAAGGTAATCTTACATGACTGCTAGTACTCATTAATAGGTCATAATTATTTGCCACAGTTACATTTAGGGTTAATTTTAGCAGAATTAAAATTATGTCCCTAGTACTTGAGTAAAACAACAATTTCTCAAAGCAGATGTGGCCCCGTTGAAAATAAAGAACAGACGCAAACTAGAAATCGTCAGTGTCACTTGACGTTTTTGATGATTTGCCCCTGTTCTCACAGATGTTCAAACATTGTGCTGAGAACAATGACCATTTTATTTGCCAGTAAAAAAAAATTAACAGATAAGGTTATGTTTGAAGTTAGTTATTTGTGAATTGTACTGGTGCTGTATTTTCAGCTCAGCTGTTCATTTGGAGAACGATAAGGAAAGCTGCAACTCTATAGACTACAACGTTACACACTAGCATTCTAGATAATGATTGCTTCTTTTTAGAGAAATTTACATTTGGGAAGGGATAATATGATAAACAATACATTATGATGTGATACAATACAACACAGTGCAACATAATAGGGTAAATACATTATGTATGATACGGTACAATACAATATGGTGCAATATGATACCATATAATATGATATGGTCCTATTTGGTGTTGTACAAAACAATAATCTACAACACATCATGATACAATATCATACTACACAATATGATTCAGTGTCATACCGTACAGTACAATCCAATATGGTGCCATAAGATACACCTATACTTTGTCTCCTTTGGTAAATTTGTTTTGGATCTGGGTATTTGTGATTGTAACCAAGATATCTGACTATTTTAATCCTTGAGGGGTTTATAATTGTCAGAAGCAATTGGGCACAAAGGCAGGTTAGAATATAATTAAAAGGCAAATTTGGCACTGACATTTTCTTCTGGCTCATCTGGCCTCTGGCCTGGATTTGTTCCCATTAGACAGGATCAATACAAGGGATCAAACCCAGAAAAAAAGATCTAAATACCAGACAAAGCATGCAAAACAGCACATTCTGACAAATTACTTTCTAGACATGATAAAAAAACATGCATTCATCATTACAATCTGCTGGAATATCATTAGCTTTTGCTACAACTAACTGTCTTCACTACGCTGTTTTGTGGGGCCCTTTTGTTTTCCTTCCTTGTGTCAAATACAAGCATCCAGACACATATCCATGAAAGCACTTGCGTCATCTGCAGCGTTTTGAATCCAAACACAGTTTGTCACTTGTCACAGTTGGTTCAGGATTGTGAAAACTAAGATAGAACAGAGGTGAGAAGCAACGTGACAGTGATGTTACACAACGGGCAGATGATGAGAACACACTCGGCTCTCCGATGAGCACCGGCATCGTATCTGACAGCACCAACGGCTGATCTGTCATGATTCAGAGATGAATAATGACTTCCGACATTCTCCCACGCACAAAACCAAACATTACATGGACGCACTGAACAGAACAGAACATGTAACACAACAGAAATACTAAGTTGTTTTTAAGAGTTTATGGTAGTGAGATACTTTTTAATGTTCAGGAGGTTCTTATTCAAGCTGCTATTTTATCATGTGTCTATTTTGCATGTCATCACACTTTTTGTTAAACTTAGATTATTTGTGCACACATGCAACATACTGTATAAACATTTTCTGTACTGGAACAAAGTTCTAAAAGATGTTCCTGTCAAGCTTCTTACCGTGGCTCATCATCAGATCAATGCAGCAATACACTGCATAAAACGGCTGCAACAAATGTTCGTGTAAGTTAACATTAGTTTTACAACCTTTTTGTCATTCTGCTTTTTATTTGACGTATTTTTGATTTCAAAGAAGATGTAAGTAGAACAAGTATGTACCATTTTGAAGAGGTTTTCTCAGTCACTGGGCTGCAAAAAAGACACCAAGCTGTCAAACAAGCAGTTATGGACAAATCTTCCACTTCAGCACTAAGTGATGAGTGAATGTGTTGATTTGTAATTTCATTCTGTTCCTCGCTGCATTACAAGTTCACAACTGCAGCAGATTATTTTTGTTTTCTTCCTGCTCTTTTCTGCATTTCTTTTGAATTTATACCCCGACGTCACAGTGGATCTTCCCACTCAGTGATAAATGTATTTTCCCAATTTGAAATTGAAATTGTACAAAGTATTACAACAGTGTCCACCACACTCTCTCTATTTTTCAAAGAACACAATAAAAAACAGCATATCCATCGCTCGGAAATGTGTCTTGTTTTATTATTTTTATTTTAGACATAAATCTCAATCTAAGAAATAGAATAAAATAACCAAATAGATATATACAATGCATGTTTAACTATCCATTGGTTTTATTCACAGCATGCATCATCGTTCGACAGCAAACATCTGTTCAGGGCTCGTTAATAAAATAAGTTTCAGATTGAGTATAATTTGGATCATTTCATGTATTCAAATTCAATAAAATTGTAGCCTCAATCTTTTTTTGCAGGTTGTAGTGCAAAGAAAAACAATAAATATAGATTGAACAATATATTGAAGTTTTATTTTCATTGCAATATACTGTAATTTTGCACAATAGAACTATTGCAATAAACTGCTGTCTAAATCATAGACTATTATTTTCCACATCTTCATGCTCCAAATGCTAGATATGCTGGTGTTGATTCTCAGTCATCCAGGACATGATAAAGAGACAAAACTCAAAACAACTGGACTTTTTTTCTTTTGTAGCTGACGACGTTTCACTGCTCATCCACACACTAACAACTTTGTTTGAATGTCCAGATGGGCAGCAACAGAAGTCAAGTTGTTTTCTTTTTCTTTTTTTCTCTTTTTTACTTTTTCTTAAATAATAAAATAGCCAATTTAAGGGATTTCTGTCCTTGATCCCTTTGTTTTGCAATGGTCTTAGAATTTTTGCCTTTGCTTTCCAGTTCTGAGTTCATTTGTGCTATTTGTTCACTTGTTCACATTGTTTTCTTCTGTCAACTGCCGTTGTGCGCTCTGTCATTCACACCTGACACCCATCTGCTAATTAGACTCAGCTGTTCCCACTTAGCAATCACCCATTCCTCTTTTAAACAATCTCCAGATACTAGTGATGAGCAAATGAGGCTTTTCTGAAGCACTGAAGCTTGCTTTGAAAAAGGGTTCATTACTCGAAGCTTTCCAACACAGTTCTGTTTGGCTCCATCCTGTGGCCAAAAGTATGAAAAGCTGCTTGAAACAACACAAAGTGAAGCACTTCATCGTGATGGAGATGACAGCTTTTTAATGAGATATTTCTGTTTGATATCTGGCTGTGATTGTGTTACTTGAACAGATTTTATTTACTTATTTCTTTTTTGTGGGTGGGAATAAAGTTACTGTTGTTTATGGTTTATTATAAATAAATAAACAAACAAATAAATAAATAAAGTGTGCCTGTGTATTTTATACGGAATTATTTCAAGTTCAAGATCTTAATTCATTTTCATTTAAAAACAAAATTAATTCTAAACACACAAATCACAAATAAAATGAAAGACAGAAAGGAGAAAGAAAAGTCTAATTTCATTATCTGCCCCTTATTTAAAAAAAATAAAATATAGGCTACTAGATTATTTCACACATTCTTAAAACCAATAAATACAGTAGTTGAATTTCAACTTAAGATTTTCACAATCTTATCTTGACATTTCTCTGAGAATAATTTTGAATATGTCATATATAAAAATATATTCTGTGTGTGACTGCTTGTCTGTGTTTTTCTAAAGACAGGATCAACAAAATCCCCTCTGAGAGACTCTTCAGATTTACTTTAAGTCAGATGTTTGATATCTAAATTTTAGGCCCAGCTTTGAGACAATTTTTTTTTACAATTAATTCTTCAAAGTATTAATAATATTTCCTACAAGTCTGATAAATACAGCCCCTGGTCTTTGATTTAAATTTTAACATGAATGTTTAAAACTTGTCCACTGAACTTTAAAATGTCTGGATAATCCCTTTATTAAATAGAGTCCATACAGTTGATCAGTTTCATCTAACGCTTCGTGCCGCCCTGCCTCCTGAGGACAGGACATCGTCACCATCTGGTTGTGTTTTTTATGAAAATCATCACCTGTGCAACAAGTGAAACTCTGCTCTGGGATGTGTCTCGCGCTACTATTGCTTTCTTTTTAATGATGAATCAAGCTGCAGTTCTGTGTGGGTCCGTGTGCGTGCGTGCGCGCGCGCGCACATGTGCGCTCGCAGCAAAGGTTCTTTGTGGATTTGTGACTCCCACTCTATCTGGCCCAGGTTTATAAACTGCACAACAAACTAAACACATACGTTTGTTTGCCTCTGTCTCACAATAAGTCCTTCACTGGTTTGTTATATTTTGCGCATTTGCCATCAAAACACACCACGAATCCAGCCAATGATTCACTTCTTTGAATCAGGTACCAAAGCAGTGACGTAAGTTCACCACTTTCGAAGCTTCGGACGTCACTGATCACGTGACTTTTACCAAACGAATCAAGCTCCGACACAGTGCTTCTGAAACAGTGTGTTGTTTTTTTTAATACATGCGCCGAAGCTTCAGCTTCAAACTGCCCATCACTACCAGATACTATTGTTTGCTGTCAGCTTCCTAGTTTTGTTTCTGCTCCATGAGAATTCATGGTTTGCAGCTGTAGTGAATGCTTTTGTTAAGACCTTGTCAGTCCTTTTGGTTAATCAAAGTTTGAGTTTTTATTTTGGACTTGCACCCAGGTCTGCACTTTAATGCGTGGTAGAAACCTAACATCTTGTCACATTGGGATTAAGAAGATTGTGGTTGAAAAGCTAAAATAAACTGAAAATGTTGGTGACACAACAGAAAGAGAGATGTGAAAAAAAGTGTAACTCATGATTGTTTCATTCAGCAATATTATGCTAGCAGTGAATCTTTATATTTCACGAAAGAATTTTTATTTATTTGTTTTGTACATTATGCGATGTTGTCAGCATAGCAAGCCTAAATAAACACAACTTAGCAATAAGGCTGATTCTAGTCTCTTAACCTAGCTTTTATTAAAACTTCTACCTAAAGGAAACTTCCTACACATATTTGGAGTTGAGAATCTGTCTATTAAGAAATGGTAAATGGTGGTTAAAAGGACAATCCAAGAGCAGGATACATGAGGCGGAACACTTTAACAAGCTTGTAGAACTATAAAACCTTGGAGGATCCTTTAGGAATCCAAACACATCACTTGAGACAGGAGCAACAAGGTAAGTAGCAGATACACTGACAAAGAGACAAACAAACAAACAAACAAAAAAGGAAACTGGCTGACATGACACAGGTGGATGAAGTTGGTCACAGAAGTAAAGACTTCCAGCATGAAACAGAAACTAATATTAAACACAAGCTTAATAATAACAACATATATATATATTGATCAAGAAAGAAAACAACAATAAATAAACAAACAAACTCTACAGAACATAAGTGCTCAACTCCTCAAGGTAAAATCTGGTTTTACAAATGAGCTTTAAAAGCTCGGCCTTAAAATGGGTAAATTACACTAATTGTATTGTATTTTGATGAAAAAACACATTTAAATTGTTAAATGATTTATATTTGAGTGTTTTAATAATCTGGACCATGTTATTTAATGGTTGAACTGTTAAACATTCAATTGTATTATGATTTCACTTTAAGAAAAAGACAATGTGATGCAAATTTAATTCAGATTTTTATTTATTTATTTTTGTTTCCTTGATGGAAACTAAAGGACGGTGGTGAGTTTCTACAAAGAAGGTAGGTAAACCATTGAGATGGATGTATTTTGTGTTATTGTGCAGAAGCCCATATACAGTACATGAGGTCTTCAAAGATAGATTTGGAATAAATTTAACCAGTCAAGTCAGCTATATTTACACATTTAAACAGTGGTGGGCAGCACTAATGTAAAATTAGTTGCACTAACCTTAAAGCACTAACTCAAATATTTAGGCCCCCTAATTCTAAAGCACTAACTCAAATATTTAGGCCCCCTAATTCTAAAGCAGTAATGCATTGAAAAAATAGCAAAAGCTAATTCTAAAGCACTAATGTATCCCAGTTGACCCATGGAACACTTTTCAGAGTCAACATGAGACAAACTTTACTGTGTGCAGAATATTGTCAATAATCAGTGTCAATATGTCACCTATAAGTGAGACATGAACAAAATGTGTGACAGCTTTCACCTTCAGCTGTTAACAATAACATTGATCAGTAACATTTTCTCAGTTAGTGCTTTTAAATTTAGCTCATAGCAAATTTAGCAAGTCCACTAATGAATTTAGAAAATAGCAAAAGCCCTAAAGCACTAATCAGGAAATCAGTACCCCTATCAGTGCTTTAGAGGAACTGTCCCCACCACTGCATTTAAAACAACTGCTGATGACCAAAGTTGTTCACATATTACAACTGGAGACAAAACACAATGTAAGATCATAAGAACAACATAAACAAATATAATACCAATGAAGTTAATCATGTCCATGGTGTGAATAACTCCTGTTCTATCTGTAGGTGCTATCAACTTCAGTATATAATTCACTTTCTCTTTATCAGGTTGAATTCCCTCTGCAGGAAGTTTATCTCCCCGAAAAGGAAATCTTGTTTCCTCCAGTGCTCATGCTTGATATTAGTATTCAGATCTTTTGGATCTATTCATAATCCCAAGTCTCCATTTTTCTTTTTAGCCCACAACAGAATTCAGCCAATCTTTGCCTTGTTCTACTTTTTATATCACACCTAAAGTCGACAGTCTTTCCTATTCTCTTTGGACTTTATCTCAGTGCTGATGGGATTCTTTTGTGTTGCGTTTTCTTTGAGCTGAATGTTACACGTGAATGATAAAGTACCAAAACTATCAAAAACATCTGCAAAGTTTTATATTGTCAGCAGAATCACTCATGCTGTCAGTATCATTAGTTTAGCACACCCTTTTCACCAATTACAGGAGTCACATCCCTCAGACAGAACAGGAAAAAAAAAATGTATTTGGTGCATTTTTTCCTTTACTGTTAATTCCAGCTGTCATGTGCCCAAACATTTGACTTTCTGTAATCTCTGGTTAAAAGTTTTTTTTTTTTCAATTGGGATTTTCTGGGTTCTCTTTCAATGCTCTGAGGTCAGACATACTAATTAAATTAGTTTTGGCACCTGAGTCAAGCTTCATGGTCATTAAAGTATCTGTAAAGACACTGTCTATTTGTCTTCTTTAACAACATTTGTCTTTTTTCCTGCTCAGTTTCACAGCTCACAATGCCAAAAAAAAAAAAAAAAGATTCACATCAATCTTTTGCATCCACTTTGCAGCCTGGGTCCTTGTGCTTCGCCTCGTAGCTTGAAATGATGTCATTGAATGTCCTGGCATGTTATTGAGAAAGCTCAGCAGGCAGATATTTAATGGCTTTGTCCTGTTTCAGCTCAATTATTTTACAATAGCCCTTCTTTGACCTCTTCCATGCCTAAGATTATTTGGTCTCATATCATAGAGTCTTTCAGCATAGAGAAACTTGAGGTCACTCAAAAGGTTCCTTGATTTTTGCTCTGTTCTTAAACAAAAGCTGTATCTGTCATAGGTTTCATTCTTTTTAGGAAAACAAAGTTAATAAAACTGGTTTAGGACTTGCACTTGGTAGTGGTAATGGTACTTTTTGATCATCAGGTTTGAAATGATTATAAGGGAACAAGATTTCCTTCATTGGTATTGTATTTGTTTGTATTGTTTTTATGATCTTCCATTCTGCTTATGCAGCAGTTCAAACCTACATAGACATGGGACAGACAACATAAAGTATGCTCAATGCTGTCATTTCCAGTCAGCTTTAAACTGTGTGGTGTTGTGAGACTTTCCATGTCACTTTTCTTGATGTTCCTCTCCTTTATTATTCCTTTTAGCAGCCTTTTATTTCACTTTTTCACTATCCTTTCGCACCTGGTACCACATGTTATTTGCCTTTGAGGAACAAATCATCATGACTTTAATTTTGCATGCTCCTTCACCAAACATTTTACTTTACCCTTCATATCTTGTGCCGCACCTTTTTTCTCTGAATATATCTACTTCCTGTTTGCCAGATTGCGGTACTGACACCTGGAGGTTACCAAAACTACACCAGCTCATCACATTCCAGTGTTGCCAGATTGGGCTGCTTTTGAACTTGTTGGGCTGGAAAAAAACAGATTTGTGCTAGTTGTTAAAATTTGGGCTGCTTTTTACCACATTTGGCGGGTTTTTAGAAATTATTCATAAGGAAATTATGTCAAAATATCAAGTGTCACTACAAAATCGTATTGGTTAATATCAAATGCACCAAACAGAGAGGAGACTGGGTTTCTGAGATTCTGAGGACCTACCACCTCCTTCTGCAAAACAATCTGAGGGCTATTAGTTTACTTTTGTTATGCATATGCTTGCAGCAAATACCTTTACCCACCCCCATCTGTGTGTTTCATTCTAACGATGAGTGTAACTCTATAAAACTCTTTTTATCTATTCATCTTTTCAGTGCTACAAATGTAATGATTCAATGCAGATGTGTGCTAATGGTGTATTCTTTATCAGTATAATATACACACATGTGTG